CCCGGAAACCCTAATCGAAATGGGATGGGGGTCAGGTGAATGGTTGTGATGATTTCATATGGAATGACCCGTATCCCCTATGTTGCCAATCGGATGGAAACCGCGCAGACCTGCCTCGATTGTCGCCGATGAAGCCCGAGAATAAGCGCATATGCTTTAGGGTGGCGGCAAACCCACCCGCGACGTATGGAATGACCCGTATCCCCTATGTTGCCAATCGGATGGAAACCGCGCAGACCTGCCTCGATTGTCGCCGATGAAGCCCGAGAATAAGCGCATATGCTTTAGGGTGGCGGCAAACCCACCCGCGACGGTTCGGTGGTTCTTCAAGGATAAGCCCCTCCAGGAATCCGGGCTCTTCGGGATAATCCAGGATTGCCTCCCCGCCATGCCCACTGAAGAGAGCACTTGTGAGTATTTCACGAAAAGTAATTTCTATGAGTTCTTATTCGAAGGAAGCCTGGGGCTCAGTCCAACCAGAACGGCGGGCAAAAGCGATTGTCAAAAGTAAGATTCAAAAGAGTTTTGAGGTTGGAAATATTTTACTTAGTCATTAAGAAATTCCAGATGTGGACCGATAGAATGAAATATGTTCCTTGAAAACCTTATTTTCCTCATTGCAAGCCTAATTCACATAGCCCAGAATCTTACTTGGACATGATCAATTCCCATATCATTAATATCAAAAATGATATTTGTTGGAATCTGACGTAATTCATTATATCGATGATCAGCCTCACATACCATCATTATCGCTTCTCTCCGTCGTGCCTGAAGGCTGCGTTAGATCGGTCCTGGCGACGTACTCTCACAACGGAGTATACACGTTGATGGCAGAGAACGCCCTCGGGCGTGCGAACGGGTCCATGGATGCCCGGTTCACGCAGCCGGCAGATCTGGCCCAGGAGCGGGGACGCATTAAGTCCCATCACTTCCCTTTCCTCGAACCAGGCTTCAATGGCGGCAACCACGAGAACCAGAGCAGCTCCCCTGCGAAACCAATGATGGACCTACTTTGGGTCTGTGGATTGTGTGTGTATACGCCTCCCAAGCAGCATGTTTACGTAAACAAGACATCAATTCTTTGCAAACAATATACATTTCTTGCAATTGCCATGAAAATGACATCACGTTTACGTAAAATTTACGTTCCTATATTTACGTCACCAAAGTGTACGTGTATTTTATATAAATTAGACGTCGCTCCATTTGACGTGAAGTACATGGTATGAAGTTTATACAAAATTAACGCCACACCATCCATATGAAACTTCAGTTGACCATCCCGCAGTTGCGGTACCAAGATTCCTCACTAGATGGAACCCTTGCTCCCTGCATCCTACAAATCCTATTAAGTACTGGCTTTCCTGATAGAAAATTACATTTTCTTACTATCCTTGCACTATTTATTATGCAATCTATGAATATATATATGTAAAGCATAAATTATTATACATATATTTTTATAATATAAAACTTAGGGAAGCATTAAATGCTGAAGTTAAGCTTCATATTACAGCAGTGCGCGGAATTAGGGAGGAGTAGAATCCCACCTCTGCAAGTACTAAATCTTCTCTACCCTAAATTGGAGAGAGCTCCTCTGAACATCTATTCACCTTCCCTAGGTTCCAGTACGGGAGGAGGAAGTGGTACGTCATTTTGGTGCTCTTGAGTGCTGATGAGAAATGTACTCATCCAACCACCCATGAGTTCTAAAGTATGGAATGGGAGATACAGTATATCAATTCTTTTCAAAGGGGCTGATTGGCTCGTTAAAGACACATGAAAGCTAGGGGGAAATTAACATAAATCTTACCTAAAATCTCGTAAACATACTCTTGGGAATGCAAACGGGCATGTCAATTTTACGTAAAATTGACGTTAATTTTATATCACCGTTTACGTATCACAGAGGTGACATTTACGCAAACATGATGGCATTATCTTGACAATGGTTTGCGTGAAAATGATATGAAGCGGACAAAAAATGTACATTCATTTTACATAAAATTAACATAAACATGCTGTTTGGGCTGTATGTGCGTGTGGATAAGGGGGGTGCCCGAAATCGCGTTTTCGCGAGGCATAAAACCGGAAAGATTTTTAAACGGTGCGAGAAATGCAATTGAACGAATCGAATTAACTAATGGTTCATTGACGCAAAGGGAAATGTTTGCCCACATCGAGCAACCGTTAGGCCTAACGAATTCTGTTTCCAAGCGCATGCGTTTTCTGCAAATGTATCGTTCGGAACAATGACCACAACCTGCACATTTTGATGCAATTATCGACGATATGACCGCGAGATGCTTCGCGGACGACTGGCAACACTTGGCGAAATTCATCCCCCAGCAAAACTACTTGGCCACCAACAACAGACCGCCATCGCCATCGAGTCTCGCAAAGCCCATTCGATCGCCGCGAGCGCTTCAACGGGAGCCATCGGCGCTTCGTCACAATCCATACGAAAATCCCACACCATTCAGCACGTGTTGATTGGGTGTAGAATGGTGTTGAAGAAGGTGCTGGAGTGACCCGAAACGGTGCTGGAGGGTGTGGTAGAGGTGTTGGAGGATGCCGTTAGGTGGTGGATGGTTGGGGAGGTGAGTGGGAAGTGTTCAAAGTCTTGTAGAGCCAAGGGGGTTGGGATGAAAAATCAGTTTGCCCCTTCACCCCAATTAGATGAAAATCGACAATCGGAAAGTATTAACGGAATTTGTGTCCAACTCTCGCATAATATTGCGTAAGCAGTGTGCAATGTGATGAAGATACTATTATTAGTAATTAGTTTAAATCAGGAATATCAACGGTTCCTGTGGTTGCTGCATAATATTTACATAATATTAACTCGCTCCCTTGCGTTGATTTAATGTCACGCTGAGCCATGCCAAGCCATTTCCTGCAACATTTCCCCAGATAAGAAAAGATCCTATGTAGCTCTCCTCCTGAGGAAGGGATTATCTCGAGATATGTATTGCCTTAACCAAGAGTCATCACCTATTTATTGGCTGGAGATTATGCCTTCAGAATGTCGATGCAGTCAAATTGGCTTTCACCCATTATTGACTGCTTAGGCGAAACGAATACATGGCGATGAGGAGATAGATATCCAACGCGTAAGATGCTTTTGGAATTAAAGAGAACTCCCAGAAACACTTTTAAATGGCCGCGCAGCTCTCTATTCCACCCACTCTCCAGCGATGCCCTCCGACTATAGCAGTACACTTGTTTCCATTTGTTTCATTCGAGTGAGGTGAAATTTGGCGACATGTATTGATTGCTGCTCTGTGCGAGTCGGATTCCAAGTGCACTTTTCCCCTCTGCATACATCGGCGTGTGTTGAAACATGCATTCTGATCCTTTCCACGAAAGAAACCGTGGCGAAGTCGGAATGAAGTCGCGCAAATCCATTCAACAACGGCTAACCCAGTGTTTGAATTTACTTTCACGAGAAGTGACCCTCTTGTGCCTTTTGAACACTTTCACGTTGATTTCCCTTTTGAGAAAATGAAGGCATCTAGCTGAATGTTATCTGGAGACACAGGAGTCCTTCATTTTCTGAAGCAGTAAGAGGCATCGCCTGAAATTCTATATTGAGGTGAGAATATTACTTGATTTCAATATTTATTTTCATACACTACATGTACAAGAACTTGCTGCTTTCATATGGTTCCAAAATCATAGAATAACGGAAGGCACAGTGACTGGAGAGCTTACGAGAATTTTGAGTTTTTGGATTTCTTCTGAAGAGATCATATGCCCGTCATTCTTTTGCAAGCGATCAATCTATCATGACTATTTCAATTCGTGGTGTTCCAACAAGTTGGAATTTCAGCACCCAACCGAATCAACTCTGTTGCACCAACACGTGTTGAAAGGGTGTGGGATTTTCATGAAGGAAATGATGTCAGTGACTCGAATCCTCATATGAATTTTGCGCGATAAACGGCATGTTTTGTGCGTGAGTAGATCCAATGGCAAGTCGAAGGCCGTGTGACACGATCTATCTCCAGGCAGCGGAAATGCAGCAATACCAGTTCACCCAGCGCTTATTTCAGTCCTATACCACGCAATATGCGAACGAGAGTCATATACAGAAATGTTTACCAATGCCACCTGGCCCGTGGATGAAGATACAACGATGCACTTTCCGCTACGAACTTAAATGCGCCGCTGCATTTAAATCGCTTTACCTGCATCGTAAACGTAGCGTTGAGCATACGCTAGTTCCTAATTTTTATTTAGAGAAGGATCGACATCAAGAGGTTGCAGGCTGATCGTAGCCGGGTGATAGACCACGTCGGATATCATGAAGCAGCATAGACTGTTACCGGGATGATAAAAAAATCGTTGCCCGAAGGAAGAAAACGTGTTTGTGCTGTTATGCTGCCTGATAGACTCGCAAAAACTGCACACGCGTTAACAGCCTCACGTCGCTCTGCGGTTTACGCAGCCCTACGCTGCCTCCATTCCGCTCTCTTCTCGACACTCACCTTGCTATATTAGTCAGCGGTCATTGCAGACCTACGTCGTCTCCTGTTTCCGTTCTGCGTCGCACCACTTCCAGAATGCTAAGCTATTTAATCCATCCTCCCTAGCCTATGACCTGGAAAGGTAAAACGTTGTAGGCCAATCAGCCACATACCACGAATAACCTTAGTATATTATATCGTTTGGATTCTTTCCATTTCCTCGCCTGAAGTATGTCATCACCGCAGGGGAAATCATGAGGCAATTTAAGTTATCTTTAAGTTATCACTTTACATAGAAATAGTATTTTTTTAAATAAGGATTTTCCAGCCATTTTCACAGCGAATTCAATTTCCTAGCGAATTCTTTCTCTTTCTTGGTTCAATCTAATAATATAGACGATCGTGATTGAGTGACTTAGTGACTGACGCTAATTCTAACCATGTTCGAGAAGTTGCAGAAACCTGAAACTTAGCACAGAAGTACCTATTTGGATAAGGAGTTAAGAAAAATTCTGACGCTGGAGGTAAATGCCCTGGGTGCGAATTTTCTGAAGGGGACGTTTTCAGTAGATTTGTTTGCTTCAGGGCACAATTTCTTCCAAATTTATTTTTGCTCTAGCGAAAAGGGCACATATAGAAGCCCACATTTTGCATGCAAATACTTCACTTTGTATCAATATCATTGAAATTTACACTTGTGTGGTTTCTTGCCTCGGGCATATTTTTGTGTGAGAATTATCTTCCAAATACATTTTCTCTGCAGGAAGCTTCAACACGTGGAGACCCACCTTGTGTTTGCACAATAGAACCTGTTGAGAATAACAGTTCCACAATATTGGTACAATAAGCTACTTCCAAATTTTCTATGGCAGTTAAAATTCCAAACTTTGTAGAATATTAATCCATAAAATTTTAAATGATTAATAATGATGTTTTCTTGTTAATTTAAAATCTGTTAGTCTTCTCTGACACATACCATAAAAAGGGTGTTTATTTAAAAAAAATTACAGTTTCCAAGTTCAATATCTCCGTTACGGAAAGGCATAGAACAGTGAACTGTTAAGGGAATACACAGGGGATCATGGGATTTTATTTAATACTTTCTTTTGCAAAAGTTTTTAGATTTTATTTTTAAGATTCTAAGGCAAACTCTACAAATGTTTCCGTACAAGCTGAAACATGTCAACGAACTTACTCGACCAGATCCCAAGTCTGTGACGTGTCTTCCTTTTAACTTGCAGGTGATTTTAATATCATGCTGCACCTCGTTCGTCGTGATAGGCATCCCCATCTGCGTCCTCCTCGGGATGAGACACTTCAGGAAAAGATCTCCAAGGTGAGAAGCACGCATATCTATCATGTCTAAGTCCTTCCGCAACTAGGCGCTCCTATTGCAGTGCAAACTGATTTCTTCGATGTTGCCAGCATCCATTTTCTTCCAATGTTCTTCGTACCGCTCGTAATTTTCTTCTTTCTAATATGGCCTTTCTCCGACATAAGGAAATGAAGAAGCAAAGGAAATGAAAAGAAATATTCATGAAATTTTTTTTCGGAGATTCTCCTGCCAGCAGAAAATTAAAAGGGCATAAAAGAAATTTCCTAGAATAGGCATAATGTGAAAAGCTTTCTGGCAATACTGTGATTCCCAACTGCAGCGAATAATGATTTTCTCTTTGGATTCTCCTCCAGAAATGGATTGGAGGTAATGCAGAAGAAAAGGGAATACGTCCAACTGCGCCTCCTCCGGGCCAATCTCCAATGCGACTCGGACGACAAGAATGCGACGTCGATTGCAACGACGGACCCATCGCACCTCCCTCTCGTGGAGATCCCCTTGCACGCCTTGGAGTTGAAGCAAATCCTAGGGAAAGGGAACTTCGGCGAGGTTTATTTCGCCATTTATAATTTCATCCCAGAAGGAGGGAATGACCCGGAATCCTGCAAGGTCGCTGTGAGTGTTTTTGTGCTGGGGGATTTCCATATCTCGAAAACACGATTGGTGTTATATAGGGGCAATACTGGATTTTGTTGCAATTGCGTTAATTATGAAAAGCAAGGAGAACATTTTTGGGAAATATATAGGCTCATAAATATTGCTTAATACGTGCTTAGTGCTATGGAAGCTATTCACGGATAGGGTGGTTGTGGTTCAGGAAAGAGAAAAATAAAATAAATAATTGACGTCGTAAGAAGAAAACGCCTTAGCTCGATGCTGCCAGAAAGGTTTTTAACGTTATGAATGCAAGTCAAGCCGCTATTTCAGGCCTGAACAAGACCTAGCTTAATTTGAAGTAACCCTCTTTCGGCTCGAGTTTGTCTCTGGGTCGTAAAATTATTTTATATTAACATTTTAATCACACAACAATGTATTTAGTTGCCTCGTTTTAGTGGCGCCTGGGGCGCGTTCTTGCAGAATGGAAAGACATGCCTCGTAGACGTACTACATTGTATGAAACCAATATTATTTGTAGTTCGGGTTGGAATGGAGAAAAACATTCCTTATTTCATTTCTTTGTAATTGCTGCACAGAGGAGGGAAAACGATCGTGCTTGAGTCCGGCTTGAACGACCTCTATGTGAATTCTGCGGGAATGGTTTATAGGCTCTAGGTTGACGCGCTAATGTGCGCTATGCTCTACCATTGGAACGTATGAAAAGCAGGATGAAAGGACGTGGACTGCTTCGGCTTACGTGTCCCAGTAGCTGTGTCAGTTCATATAACAGGTCTGGATCATATTTGGTACGCAACTTGCCCAAAATAAATGGGAGAGGGGACAAGGGTGTCTCGAAAGTAAAATAAGAAGAAACTGAACGATAACTCATAAAACCAAGTAAGTACCTGATATACGTCTCTGAAGGTCATAATGCAACACCGAAAGATGAAAAATATACGACTTTCTCACTGCAACCACGGGGGTCATCACAGAACAGATTAGCGATCGTTCCTTCTCAGTGAGGGAAAGCTGCATTGAAAATGAAATGATAATAGGATTACTTTGAATCTGAGACGTATTGATTCAGTCCAGCACGATGAGTCGCTTCAGGGAATCAATAAAACCTACTACATAATAAGAGTAGAAACGCTAATTTTTAAAACGTATCAAATAGGAAAATTTTGTTCCGTTGCTGTGGCAATCTGACTCCAGTGGTGACCAACAAAGCAAACCTCTCTCTGATTTGTTAAAAAAATTGATTTTCTCCTAAACGTGACTTCTTCATCGACTTTAATTCTAAAATTGATTTCCTGATTTATATAGAGTCATTACTTTGAATTGAAAGTGGCCAAAACCTGCATCCCCAAATTACTCCGGGCTCTTCCCATCATTATTGGACAGGTGAAGTTCCCAAAGGAGGGGATCGGCGAAGAGCACAAGCAGGATATCCACCGGGAGGCGCAGATGCTGGCGAAAATGCAACATCCCAATATCATCCGGCTTCTTGGGATAGTTAGGAGCCAGGCGATTGGGATCGTCTCCGAGTTCATGGCACTTGGTGACCTTAATGGCTTACTCAGGTATATTTCCGAGACGAATTCATAACTGCTCTATTCCAAAAAGTTTAACTACGATTTCTCCAAAGTAAAAGTGCTACCATGGATTGCAACGGAAATATTATGAATACAAATTTCCTTGCACATTGTGAGCATAAACCTGAGGAATTTTCTTACTCTATAAAAAAAGTTACGCCTCTTCTACGGCGGATGGTTCTCATAAATATCAACCACCGGGATTGAACGACAGGTGGATTGCAGGAGGGAGATGGTGAGATTTGAACCATGTACACTTTCCCCTAGCGTGCATTTAGAATCAGGAGAATATATCCTGTTTAGTGCATTCAGAATCTAAGAATTAGGAATCTAAGAGCGTATTTTTCTGGTACATAGACATTTTTCCAGATACAAATCCACCCTGAAGATGGAAATTTTGCCTGGGGGGAAGGTCTCTGGAACCACGCAATACTTTTCTTTGAAGAATTTGCCTTAGAAGTCTTGGATTAAATGAGGACCCATTTTTCTCAGCAGTTGGATGAACGAATACAAATTTCATTCCGAAATATGCTGTTTAATTGTCAGACTCGGCATGAAGAAGTTAAATATTCTGTTGTCATCCCTTGACTCCACCTCATTAATTGCTAATTTTTGAGGAACTTGAAATTTAACAGGATATTAACTGGAATGAAGCAAAATGAACTTTTTAATAAGGAAGGCATGAAGAGTCGCACTGCGTATTTTTCCGTAGGAAACTAGACCCGAAATCAAATATTTTTGGAGTGGAGAGAGGAAGCGAGGCGCAGCTGGGTAAACTGGGACTGGAGGACTTGGTCCACGTTGCGATCCAGGTTGGGTCTGGTCTCAGGTACCTCACGGATCGACACTTCGTCCATCGGGACCTGGCAACGAGGAATTGCTTGGTCGGGGAGAACCTCACGGTCAAGATCGGGGACTTCGGCTTGTCTAGGGACGTCTATAGCTCCGACTACTACCGGGTTCGTGGCTTAGTCATCTTGTGGTTAAACTTTTATGTAATTTTACTGGTGGTGGTACAGTCAGTTTTTCATTCTTTCAAAAAAGAATTATCCGTCGTCCCAGTCGACGTCACGTTCATGTCGTCCGAGTCATGTTGGAGATTGGCCTGGATAAGGCGTAGCTGGACGTCGTCCATTTTCTCTTGCATTACCTCCCATTCCTTTACGGATGTGAATGCAAGGAAAAAATCCTCATCCTCTGCAGTTGCTAATAACAGTATTGTCAGGAAGCCCTTCACGTTATGCCCATCCAAGGAAATCCCTTCTTCGTTCTCTTCAATTTTCTGCTTACAGGGGGATCTCAGAAAATATTTTCTAAATATACAGAGTGGCCCAAAAAATGGGCACTCTTTTCAACGCGCATTTCTGGTGTAATGCTTTCAATGACTTTTTTGTGGTTGAATGTAACGGGAAGAAGGAAGATTCAGATTTTCTCAGACTTGAAATATCTTGAAGGATGACCTAGAAAAAATTGGTTGCATTTCTGTAACCAAAAATCGGCGTTACGCTCACCAACTCGACCCAGCATTCACTCGACGTCCCTGCACTCACGAGAAGAGGAAGGGACACGCTGACCTTAGCAGACGTCGCGAGGCTGATTGGATGTGCCTGCTAACATATGCGGTCGGTGAGCGCAACGCCGATTTTTAGGAACCGATATTCAATCATTTTTTCCTAGGTCATCCTTTAAGATATTTCATGTCTGAGAAAAGCATATTGTAGCTGCATCTTCTTTCTTCCCGTTACATTCAACCAGAAAAAATATATCCTTAAAAGCATCACATCGAAAATACGCGTTAAAAATAGTGCCCTTTTTTGGGCCACCCTGTATATATTTTTAAAATTTCTTAGCTTCTTTACTTCCTCATGCTGGAGAAAATGCCTCTATGATGCATGGAGTAAAACATGGGCGCCATCCTCTTATTCTACGGATGTCCGAATGATATATCTCCACATCCCACCAAATCGATAGATCACTGCCAGCTAACATTTCAATTTCACCTCATTTAATGATATCAGCACCAAATCATCTCACGCAATGAAACAGAAGATCCTAACACTGACACCTAGAAGTCAGGAACCTGATATAACTCCGGAACGATATCTGGCAACACTGGAGGATGGGACTGGGTCCATCACGCCAAGCCTAAATTAACTGTAACTAATTTCAATTGTCATGGCAAGATGGTGCCCTGAATGCAACGAAAATGGCTCATTTCGTCACCTACGTGTCAATATCTTTCGTGTGGTAGGTCTCTTTCCTCTGAAACTCCCCAGGAGTGGCTACCGAGGGGAAGAGAAAAAAAATTCCGGAATGAAATTACAACTTTTGAAAAGCGAGATTCAATGATTTCCACAACCCCTGGGGGATGTAGCTTCACATTTTTGCAGTGATTCTGTGTTGAGGGAAAGAGAAATATGCCAAACTTCGTTCCCGGTGATGCTCTTAGAGAGGAATACAAGACTGTTGAATGTTGTCGTAGGAAGGGGTTGAAGGAAAATAATAGGCGCTATAGCGCCTATTTTTTTATTTTATTAGATCGTCAAGCACTGAAGACGCGATCACAAGGAATATAAACATTAGGGAAGAAACGAACCAGAAAGTAAAATCGATAAACTGTCACTGTTATGACGTTGCGTGGATGGATGTGGACGGTATTGTGACCTTCTCAGCCTAAGCCTTTCCTCCTTCAAGTCTGACTCGAGTCAGATCGATACAGTTGCTTTTCCCCCACCCATTTCCTTTCTTCAAAACCTTCAGGTTAAAAATTTTTAACTTTCTTTTCCTTCTCCCCTGCCTTGTAGAACCCCATCTCGGGTGTTTTCGGAGGATATAGCCCCGTTAGAATATATATATGGACTTGTACAGTGAGATACGTGCCCTTGCCATCTTTGCGACGCACCATTTCGCTGTGAACAAGATCAGTTTTCGTTTATTTAGGCTTATTGTGCGGGCTTCAGTACCCTTCCCCAAGGTTGCCGAATATAGTTTTGGAGATATGCTGTATTCATGTCGGCTTTTTCTTTCCTATCGAATCCGTATATTTTGGGCAAAAAATGAGGTAAGCTTAGGCCAGACTCGAATACAGTCCATGAGTTCGGGTAAACCTAAAGTCATAGTGAGTCCCATGGAAAGGAGAGAAGGGAGACAGGAGTATAAAAGAAAGGAATTGGGAAAAAATTGATTTCACATAACTACATCGCATGACCTATCCGATCGTCGTTGCATTGTAGCCGTACCATATTATCAATATCATCGTTCTCACATATATAGCAGAGTTTACTCATTGCTGCTCTATAGTTTTCATTTCCAAATTCATCGACTGCTTTTTCTGAAGGCCATTTCAACAGCCAAATCGATCGCACGGTTCATCTCGAAAAAAACCGATAGCGACATAACTCGTTTAGGAAATACTTCAGGCCATCGTCGTACTTGCCACGCGTAACAGGAATAGTCACCCAACCATCTGACTGCAACCGTTAAAATTCCCTCCGGTGATTGAATGAATGTTTCTTTGCAGTTTGGGCACGGGAAGTCACTGCTGCCGCTGAGGTGGATGCCGCCCGAAAGCATCATGTATCGCACTTTCAGCGTCCAATCCGACATCTGGTCCTTCGGAGTCGTCCTCTGGGAGATCTTCTCGTACGGTAAACAGCCCTGGTTCGGATGCTCAAACGACGAGGTAAACTCACTACATCTGTGGGTTCAACGGCAAAAGTAATGTTAATTCGGCATGTGGGAAAGCGATTCGGGCAGAGCACATGCATGAGCAGGCCGAAGATGGGAAAGCAATATCTCCCAGGAAGGGAAAAATCATTGTTGTCCAGTGGTCCAAAAATGCATTTTTCCAAGGTTGTTCCTTAAAATTTCCCAAGTCGGGGTGATGAGAAAGGAAGCTTGCTTATAAGAGAGAGATGTATTATGCCCCTAATTAAAACATTTTCAGTTAAGAAATATTGTTCTTTAAAAATTATTTAGAGCGTGAACTTTTGAACCATGATTCACACCTTAATTTACTGCGCTCAACCCAGTCAAAAATGTATAGTTGGACCAACAAAGGTTCAAGGGTGGCTCTTCTATGCACCATCTACGGGGCATCAGCAGGTCATCGTTGGCTTATGGGAGGGGGGTTATGGTTGGCTATGGTTGGTCATGTCTGGGTCGGCCGCCCTTCGGGCCAACCTTCTCTGACCATCCCATAGCCGCATTTGGACTGCAACTGTGCCACCCATAAGCCAACCTTTTAAGCATGCATGCACCCTTAACCCACCTCAATGCCACAGTATTAATTGCCACATTCTAATTAGCCCCCACTCGCATTCTCCGCTCTGGCTTTCTACATTACGCCATACGTTCCACTATTGGATGATTTAAATAGGATCTACCCCTCTCCTCCCTGGTCAAGGAGAGGGGAAGATCTAATCGTCCCTATATATATAGAAAATTATTAGGGCTGAGGTCAATCCTCATCTGAACGGTAAGAACACCTTGTCTCTGTTCGAGGAAAGCGAACAGTCACTGTTCGCTTTCCTCGCTGACTGTTGTATACAGTCACTATGAACGCCTCCGTCGTGCAAGAATTATTCTCAAAACTTGACATTCGAGTCATCATCATGGTCCATGTTCTGCTCCGACACACCGACAGTAAACCAGATTGATAGCATAAGAGTCATACGAATCACCACCAGGCCAATGGCATACGAGTGCTATCTGTCCGGTGGTGATTCGGCGGTCTTCTTGAAGGAGGTCGGCGACTTGCTGGACTTTTGTTGGTGTTGAAGCAGAAACTAGTCGCCCACTTCGTGGTTCATCTTCAAGATCCGTCTTTCTTTCCAGGAAGGGCTTTCACCACGTCCAGATCGCCTCGTAAGCTGGACAGCCTTGGCCCAAAGACATTAATAATGATGTTAATAATAATAATGTTGATGGATTTCTGTCTGTGTGATGGTGAGCAAAACATGGAACTTGATGATGACTCGAATGTCATGTTTCGAGAATGATTCTTGCGCTACGGATGCGCTCGTAGTGACTGTATGCAATATCCGGCCGCGAGTATAAATGTAGCTAAATTTATACCAAACTCCCCACAACGACCACTATTAGCAGCTATTATAACCAGCACTCAGCGAAATTTAATAAAGATTCATCGAGTGAAGCTTATTTTAAAATCCAATACAGAGAACTTTTCGGACAACCCTCGTATAAGGAGTCGATGGATCAGACTCTCTAATTTTCCCCTCCATCCTTCCAGACCTTTACCTTAGCAGATCTCCCCCAATACTGGTTGTCGCATAAATCCATCATATTATCAACGGGGAGTCTACGGAGTCATTATGAACCTCGGACACGCGGGCTATCTCCTCGTGAGAATCTTTAACTTTAAGTCACGTTAGAGCCGCCCACAAATGACCTATTGTACACTTTGCATTAACATACTGTATGCATGCTTTTCCAAGCGGAAAACAATCTATGAATGCATAACTGCATTCATGGTTTGAATGCAAACTGCATTCATGGTTTGAATGCAAACTGCATTCATGGTTTGAATGCAAACTGCATTCATGGTTTGAATGCAAACTGCATTCATGGTTTGAATGCATTAATCTGGGATATTTTAAAATAACCGCCTGAAGTGCGAAGTACAGAATGACAGTTTCAAGCATTGGAATACTTCAGATAATAGAATGTTGTAGGCTTACTATGATTCCAGAAGTTTTCCATTTCGTGCAATCGACTATTCCTTACATTTAGAATATTTTCTTTAGCCAGAACCAGAAATATAAAAATTAAAAAATATAATGCACATTTTCCCTTCATTCCTTTGGAAAAGGTCCTGCGGCTGGTAATCAGCGGGCAGGTGCAACGCTGCCCCGAGAACTGCCCTCGTAGCGTCTACAACATCATGCTAGCGACGTGGAAGACCAACCCCGAGAACCGCATACCGATTGGGAACGCCCTCGACTTCCTCCACGAGGTGAAGAGCAACATCAACATTTACCTAGAGATCCAGGCAGGCGTGGTGGATCTTGACATCCTGGAACAACCCATATCCTGAGAACTTGTAGGAGAAAGGAGTATTGATACCATTGCAGACCAATCCAGTTTTGGAAATATTTTGATCCGTAAACTTCATTATCTTCTCGCTACTTGTAACTGTTGAAATGTATCCCCTGAAAGTGTAGTGTAAGTTGCTAATTTTCCTGGAAATTCGACCTATTCAACACAGTATATTAGAAAAAGGCTAATTCTGTACTTAAAGAATACAAATATTTGTCATGAGTACTGTACTCTTCTGTGGTTAACTTTTCATTCTGAGATAGACATTTGAGAAAGAAAAGCATACCCTCAGGTTCCATTGTGCCCCCATGATACTTCGCCTATGCTCTCATATTTTCACAATAAATGAGCATGAATACAAAATGCTTTGACTAACGTGATCTCTGTAGTGCATGAGTTACGGTATTGCATCAATACCCTTTGCACTTTAAATTTATACCACTTGAATACCACACCCCATTATGAAGGAGCGTCATTCTCAACAACTCGCCCCAGATCCTCGTGGTTTTCTTTCTTATTCAGTATACGATTTGCAAAAGTTTAAAATCAATGCTTCTTTTTTAAATTTTCTGCCATTCGAGAAAATCAGGTCAAGGTTAACAAAGGAACTGATCGATTTACACATTTTATGGATTTACGAAATTGTACTAATCCATTCATACTATATTAGAATACGCAAGAGAGATTCATATTAGGTGTAGCCTCTAGCCTATAAAGCTTTTGCCCCTCAAGGACTTAGGCCAGGTAACCCCTAGGCCTATGGGCCTTTGCTTTGCGACAGACATTTGATCAAGTCGGATTACTACTTTCGGAGCCAGTATCCATGCATGACATTTGTACGTTGCCTGCTCAAGAGTTCGGCCAGAGTATTCGTAGAAGATTCAGGTTATCGATGGACCAAAGCAGGGCAAAACTCATGCTGGCACTGTTACCGACGATATGGTCCTTAAAGAAGCACTTCCTTTGTTTGTCACGTCCGTTCGTCGGGACTATTTTTGCACATTATGATATAAGCTTTTCGCTTCATTCCCACGTGTGTCCCGTTTCTTGATATTTCATGCTTCCTTCCATTTTTATTTACTTTACTCACGAACTAATGTTGGTTGTAATTTTCGCATATTGGCAGATGTAGCACGCTGTGCCTCAGCATATCTTTCGTGCATATATGTTCCATCATGAACTGTATGTCAACGTTTGGCAGCGGGAACAAGGCTAATACTATTCTTAGTCGATGAGCTGTGACAAAAGAGCATATGTACTGTAGAAGGACGTAATTGCGGCCATAGGCCGCTAGTCAAATACAAAAAGCCAATTATCATCATCATTGGAACTATCGCTATGATCATCAAAGGCATTCAAGGATCTTTCGTATAATATCTGAGAGTACGAATATAACATTTATGTCCCCCGAATCGATCTCATATTGACGTTGGTGATAAAAAGTTTGCATTTGAGAACTCTTACTTCATAAACATTCCGTAAAGGCCAGATGATGTTTCTTCAAACACGGTTGAGTTCTGTGCTGCGGTAATGAGCTTATAACACTTAACTCGGTTTTCAAATTCAAGGCATGCTGTATTTAACTGTGGCAGCTCGAAGAGTGCTTCCAGAGGGAGAATGCTTCTTTCCTCTAACCAAACCTAATCCACACAGACCAAGCCCATGCGAGCTGATGTGATCGAGAAGATAAAAGGAATAATGCTACGCTGGGAGGAAGGCTGGGACTAGTCTCCATCGCTGGTGTCTCCTGCACAGAATCGAATTTGCGACTTTCCACTTTTCTGTCGCTTCATGCCGAGAAGGTGTATGTTTGACAAAAAGGAGTGAGATCAGATCCTAAAAAATTAAAGCAAGAGTTGCTTGAAACATTTAACATGATACTCGCCCATGAGGAAGAAGCTAAAGAAAAGTAACGAGCAAGAGCATTCATAGTAATCGGTTAATCGAAACAATACACCTTGATCAATTTTCGCATTTCGATTCATTTTTTCAAGAGGAAAAGGCATCGACTGTACAGTAATTTCAAGTCACATCCATCTCTTTCCGACCGTGCCGGTCTGAAAGTATGAAAGGCGTCTGCAAAACCGGAAGACGTCTATACTGAGACGAGAGGGGTGATTTGAGTGGCCTTGCATCGTTGAGACACATTTCAACCTCCGTCTTCATTTGACCGTGTAGAAGAAAGGCCCCTTCATAAAACTTCGGGGCAATGCAGTGATTGTTGAGGGATTCACACGCAATCGCGTGAAAGTGCATGGCCTCTTCAGGCACGTTCGCATCGTCCTTCGGCGAGGCTGCAGCGAAGCCTCCCCGAAGGTGCGACATAGGACTCTCGTTCACATTTCCCGGCGTCCACTTACGAAGAACCAACGATAAACGTGAGCAGAGGATGAGATTGTATCAATCTCAGTTCGATGCTGGAATGAAGATGGCAATGTACATGAGACGAGCGCTCTTGCTCCTCTACAATTGTCCGCTGCAGGGAGCAATAAAGGCGAAAGCTTTGGAATGAGAGAGATCGTAGGTGGCCACGCCTGTCATCTGATGAAGCTGAGTTTTTTGGAAATTTTGTTTTCTACATACTCCACTACAGGGGATGATACGAATTCAATCCAAAAACTGTGTACGCCTAGTGGACACAACCTAATTTTGAGGGTAAGCTTAAACTAAGGTCTCATGTCTATATAGGCCAAAGGTAAGCTACTCTTTCCTAAGTAATGCCTTCTCCCGTTCCTTTTAACGTAGGCCGACCTCAACATGTTTTTTTTTTTTGCATCCAGCTTGGCTAGACAAAAACTAGGCGGGCTACGCCTATTCCACAAACTGGTGGTAGACCTGATATCGAAATGACTATTATAATACTTGTAGGAAGGTGATTTTTGAAACCTTAAGCGACGTACTCAAATCTAGAGTTAACTGTATAGGCTTTGCTGTTTCAGGTTTTAAGAGCTCTTGCAGGCCGCCATATTAACCGGCGTTCCTATTGGCTTTCCATCATCAACTCCTCATTTGCTATCCATGACAAAAGTTTGACTGCCTCGAACCCCTTGTGTAGGTGCGCTGCATCTGCGTTGTTGACCAAGCTTCCAAATTTAAAAGCTGAATACTCTTTCTAAACGTAGATTTCAGTACAATAATCATTTTCCTCCCCAACACGACATCACTGGGGTATATCGGAGCATATGGGGCGTGGGGCATATGGATCGAAACTTGTGCCCATTCTATTGGAGACCAACTGATCCGTTCGGACCAGATAAAGTTGAAATTGTCTTCATACTCTTGATACTCAACTCCAAGAATGTTTTCCTAGAAAGGGTTAATCTATTTATCAAAGCATAATTTACTTCCCATTCATCCATTGAACTTCTTAGCTGAATTCAACAGCCCATTGATGAAGTCCGGCCCAGGCGCTTGGCTCGACAGCGCGGAGAAGGAGAGAGGCGCATGAACGAAGGAAAGTTCCTTTAAGAGCAAGGCAGAGCCATGATTCAGTCTCAGTTCCTGCCTCCTGCTCCCATCGATATCCACTGTTCTAAGTGTGCTCCGGTGCACCCGCGAAAGGTATAAACCGAATATGGCGGCTCCGTTGATTTTTGTGCCAAAGAAAAGCCTGGTCGAACAGGAAGACGCTTAGACGATAGATGACTTCCTGTTAACCTAGGATGTGCCATAGTCCATCGTGCGACACACGTGAGCGACTCGATCTGCAACATGTTAGTAAAAGGTGGCACACCGCTTTTACTAATATAATAACGTGACTCTGAGGCAATGCATTCTTCCAGTGCTTCTACAGTTCAAGGTCAGAATGAGAAAAAGGGAATCCGAGATGAATATCATCCTGTTAAATGATTTATTGATGATGCTGTTAATTTAGCTTATAAAATGAATCTCATGAATAATTAAGCATGCTTAGATTTGTTGAGCTTATTTGGCTCTCTAATGCCTTCATCCGCGAAGAAACTGAAATATGTTGTTCACGGTCTTCATAACCTTTTGCTAGGGGGTACAACCCCAAGTACAAATATAACAATTGTACGATATATGTCAATTGAATCCTTTATTCAACCTGAATACAATGATGCATCAGTATTTTGCGTAGCCGCCATTAGCTTCACGTACAGCCCTCAAATGCTGAGGACATAATTTCAACATATTTTTAAAAGTTATTTCGTTTTCCATTTCATGAAAAAAAATGTTTTCCAGGACAACCCCTTCAAAATTTCAGTCAGAACCAAGCTCACTAATCATCATACTTTGTAATTTTTCCATTAAGCCTTCATTCCTCTCTTGTTACGGTATCGTCGACTGATTACCTATCCACGCCACTTTGAAATGATTTTTGCCACTCGATCAAGCTCGAGCTTTTTTTCTTTGTCTAATCCCACTGTACTCCATCAGGATGTTTTTGCTCATTTCAGACAGTTTTTCCGGCTGGCCGTCATCAAATTTCGTAAATCTAGGTTCGCATCCTTTGTTACAGTTGTCAGTAACTCAATCTGTCACTGCGATTCAGTGGTGAGATATTCGCTTTCAATTTGATTAACGTTGCGCCTGCTTCCCTTACTTCTCGATAGGCGTATGCTCGAATGCGGTCTATCACACGTGGCTTTTCATCATCACCAGCCACCCCAGCGAATATAATTTTCAATAAAAAAATAAAGAAAATGAGATTAAATTAGCTTTTAAAATATGTATAACACTCATATATATTAGTATAACCCATAATTGCTGTACCCCCCAAGCAAAAGGTTATGCAAGACTCTAGATGTTATGAATAATTTTAAACTGCATTCTTCGTATTGCCAGCTTTCAGGCTCAATGTACACAAAAAAAAGATTTCCCTTTCTACAAGGTGTTCCCAAAAGAAACTGTGCCAATTCGTTTTTTTGCGGGCATGATAGTAAATTGTATTCAATCAATTGAATATTTCATAAAATATATGTGGATAGAAGAATCCCTTTGACAAATTTGAAGGAAATTGCCTCAATGTGTCACGTGCCACACCGTTTCAAACTTGAAGGATGAGAAAAAGCACCGGAAGTCTGCCCCTGATGGGAATACATGCAGCTAATCGAAAATCGCGACAGCGACTGCATACTTGTATCTGAGAACGTAGAAACCATTTTGAGCATATGATATGAATGATTAAAGGAATGAATTTGCTTTTAATTCGGCAGAGACCTTCCATCATATAACCACATTCAGTGTTCAATACAATTGGCTGAACAGATTAAGCTTACTCTCTTCATTTATAAAAGACACTACTAAATTGAAACTAAAGCCAAATCATCGTTTAAAAAAATTAATCTCATGTTAGTCACTGACGAAGCTCATTTCAAAATTAATTGCTGTCCTGTTCATCA